CAGTGATGCTGAATCTGCTGCAGTAGGAGAGGTAAAGCATGGAGGGTTTGGGTAGTGTATTTCTTTTTTTTTTTTTTTCCCGTGCCAACGAGCATCGTTATTAAAGAGCACAGAACGGGAAAGAACAGATTTTTTTGTGTTTTAGCTGTTGCTTAAGCAAGGCCTGCAGTCCACGAAGATTGCATTTTTCAATGGCAGAAAGCACTTTAGGAAATAAGCAGCAAAGCTGCTTTTCCCCCCCCCCCTCTTCCTTTTTCAGCTATGGAATGTCTCAGCAGGGAGTCATTGATGTTTCACCTTGAGAAAATGGATCATTAGTGATTCTCAGGCCTCTTTGCTCTTCTTCCTCTCAATTACGTGACAGCTTTGAAAAATTAACGAGTTGCACAAAGCCCTCGACTGGCATCAAGCTTATTTTCCAGTTAGGCAATGTTCATAGAAAGAATATGATTGTTCACAGAAATATCTCCATTGAAAAGCTACCAGGATATGACGCTGGGAAGTTTTGGGATGTGCTTTCCATCTAAAGTGACTAATGGTTTAGGGCTTTTCAACATCAGGAATGAAAGAAACGAGTAGGAGGACTTCTTGTGACTCTTCTGCTAGCTCGTGGGCACCAAGTCCCTACTAGGTTTCCGTTTAGTTACAGACTTTACCCAGTATTTTTTTTTTCAGGAGTAGTAAGATATAATCCTTTTGGCAGAGCTTTCACTGGTTTCTACGTGCAAGGTATACTCCACCCCGTAGCTCCATGCCAATTTCTGTTTAAAAAGGAGAAGGGACAACAAGGGGCAACTTCCTTTTGTGTCCTATTGTTTCTCATGAATTGCAAGCATTACCTTTGGTGCTGCCCTTCAAGAGGGGGAGGGGTGATGGTTTCCTAACATTACAAGCATTAAGGGTCAGAGAGTACTTAGTTCCTCATTCTTGCATCGGATTTAAAGTTATCCGGTCTGGCAAATCCATAAATCCTGGCTTTTACAGGAATTTCACCTTTCCGAGGGCTTAGCACAAAGTATAATGTGGACCTGCCATGAGGCCAAGTGAGCCGGTGTGTCTCTTCCTCCTGCTTGGAAAACCTGCCACAATTATGCTATAATTTCATGGGACTGTGTTAGGGAAGGGTTCGGTCTGGTAGTATGTACAGTCCTCCTGTATCTTGTCTAACTGGGAGGTTTTACTTTGCTTATGCTCCTGATTCTTTTGCTGTATTTATTCAGAGATCTTCAGCAGGAGTGCAAGTAAAGCATCAGGTTTTTGGTAGGTTTCTTTTCATTAGTATCCTTCAGTATTTAATATTTGGGTATCAGGTGCTGTTGAGGCAGGGAATGTAAGGCGCTCTGAGCAACACTATTAGATGTAGTTTGCAATGCAGACCATTACTACCATCTGCTTTTGGACACGTTTTAAGACAACAGATGGCATTCTTTGGAGTGTCTTAATAATGTACTTTCAGGTGCTTGAAAGCGTCGTGCTTTCCAGAACCCTGAATTTAGAAGCAAATGGAAGCATTTTAGGAAAAGTATAAAGTCACAGTATTAACTCAGATTCAGGCTTTTCTGCATTGTTGATTCCTCCTTGACGATCAGCTGGGGCTTTTTGGCATGGTTTTATGCCTCTGAACTTGTTATATTTCCCACCGTTTTTCCATGTCTATAAGATGAGCATATACAATGTTAACAACTTTTGTTGCTAAGGCATGCATTGTGGCAGGGATTAACTACTTGCAGATGTTTTCACTTTTTTTTTTTTAATTTGGATTAGCAAATACTGAAATTTCCTGTGTGGTGCTCTAGTTTTGAAGATGGATTGCAAGCAGTTAGGTTAATTTAGTTGTTTTTCTCTCTTATTTTGTAGTACTTAGTATTACTTCTTTGCGAAACTGGAAAAGCAGGGCTCTCGTCCACTGGAACCAAAAATCGCGTGTCATAATTTGCATTGGTAACATGATTGTTCAGCCTTGGTATGCCAAATTTCCAGCAGTGACTTACTGGAAAAGGAAATTAGGGGATTCACATCCACAGTTGAACTAATTGTATTTATGAGTGCTGACGGAGGTGGGGCAAATCAGAACTTCTGTGTCAGTTACACAAGAAAATGTAGTTTGAGCGGCTGATATCGGTCTCTTTAAAGTGGAGCAAAACTTTAAATTATCTTTGTACGCAGTTAATAGAACGCAATCTCTGAATGATTTTTTTCTAGAAGTTACAGATAGAGTAACAGATAGAGTTACACTTGAGAAAAGGTTGATCATCATTATGTAATGAGACGAGGGAGGCAGAACTACAGGTTTCCTGGGAAGTCTCAGCAAATGGAGAACATAGTCTTGTTAGGCTGGGGATATGCTAATTCAGATCAATTTATTGTCTTGTGACTTGGGTCTCATTTTGTGAAATAAAGAAAATCATGTCTTTCTGTCTTCCTTTGTTTGAAATGCAGTGTCTACAATAGTCTGCTACATGTTTAAGGTGGCAAAAACTAACCTTCCCTCTAACTACGGAAGATATGAGGATCCTAATTTGTTGTCTCTCAACTAGATGCTGACTAGACAAGATAAAGATCATTGTGATGTTGAATTATACCCTGTTTCTCCTCCTCCTTCCCCTATCGCTATCAGGGACTTCAGTTCATATTTTTACTCTGTATTTGGATGCTGCAGCATCTATAATGGTTTGTCAATAATAAGAGAATGAGTTAGGAAAATCTTTCATTGGAAAGGAGCTTCTAGAAATGTAAGCAGCCTCTATTTTGTGAGCAGAGGATTTCTTTTTGAGTACCTGGATGTTTTATGTGATAAATGAGCTAAACTGCATAGAGACTCCTTTCTGTGAGGCTGGCCTTCGGACACAGCTAATCTCACTGAGAAATGTAATCTTCTTGTCTAGAAACAATTCAGATTTGGATTTTAAGCTATTTAAAAATTGTCCTGTGCTTTGCATTAGGCTGAACAGTAAATTAAACTTGCACTGTTTGTAATTGTAACCTGCGTTGTAGAGCATTTGTTTTCATCTTCGCTGCGTTCACAGCGAAGAAGCTAGTTAGAGCTGACAAGGCAGTTGCTGGTTGCTATTGATGATTTGTCTCCTGCCTGCTTCAGGCAGTGGGCTAACGCTGAAGCAGGTTCCTTTGACTCTGAAACCAAGACAGAAAG